CAATACTTCCCAAGCCGCTGACCTAGAACAAGTGTGCGGACCAGACAAGGCAGAAGTCATTACATGCATTTGTTCTAGATCAGTGAAATCATCTTACATTCCCTAAATAAAACATTTTTCTTACAATTACGGGTTTCCCACTTCCTGGTCCTCTTCGGGATTAGCAAAGTAGCCCGTGCCTAAGCGATGCATCCTGGGAAGGTTACATCAGCAGAGCAATGCTGGGAACTCTCATCTGTAATCTCAGGAGATCTCAGGGAAAGGCATTTTCCTCCCCAGAGATGATGTGCACGGTCACATGTCCTAGTCACATGTGCCAGAGGTCCAGGAAGTAGAGGGAGAGACGGGATTTATCAGCCATTAGTAAGACTGGGGAGGAAAAGAAAAATAAGGTATACAGAGAATACAAAGCCGGCAATTATCTAGAAGTATGTGTTTGTAGATTGCCATTACTAAACATTTCTAAAGGTGTGTTTGTTATTGTAAAGCTCAGGGTAACATTCCTCTTTGAAGTCTATTTCCACTTTTGTGATTATCATGTATCGTGGTCATGCAGAGGCGCAGTATTGCTGCAGAGGCGCAGTATTGATGTATATGTTGTGTACATTTTCATGACTCGCATTGCTGGCTTTCTTCATTTCATGAACTTTTTAGTAGGCCTGAGTCATACAGATTGAAAAATGTTCTCCACGTTAACTCAGTCACTGGGGTTGGATTGTAAAGCAGCTGACCCCCCCCCCCCGGAACAAGATCACTGTACACCAGCTCTGCCTTTCCAGGTAACAATACACTGTCCAGGGAGGGGGTTGCCACTACAAATACTAACGACTGGGATGAGAGAGCTCAGGGAGTGTTCATTTAGACTGACCGCTTACAAAGCACAGAGATGGCCATTTCAAAAGGAGCCATGAGGAGAGGAAGAGAAAAGAAAAATAGTAAGTTTCTGTGTTCATATACAGCAACTGCATATACCTGCTTCATGTATACTCTGTGTACATTGCTGGCATTTGCAAAGGTGGAAATGGGCTTTAAACCTTTTGCTGCCATGCCCTGCCGAACACTTTAGACTTCAGCTGGCTAGATTGTTTTTAAAATTTTTCACCTTTCAACTTCTGCTTTTAGAGTTTGTAATCGCACACCCCAAACCATACCATACATTTCCTGAAAGCACAGGACCGCAAGAATACAAAGATAGTGCTACTCATTTTGCAGGTCCTGCAATAATTGGGCAAATGTTTATCAAATCACCATGAGCTTATAGCACAAGGGTGAAAGCCAGCGACACAAGACATACCAACGTGGCCAGCTTGTGTTCCGCCCTATGCCTTACATCATTGGCAGGGAAAGTGATAGAACCCTTTTGACTAGGGATGCACCGATAACGGGTTTTTCGGTATCTAGTACCAATCATTTTTTTTCAGCACTCACTGCTACCGAATACCAATACCGGAAGTCCCATTAAGGAAGCCAGGCGGCGTGTAGACTCGCCACCCGGCTTCCTGATTAGCAGGCAAGGTGCTTCCATGTTCCCTCGTCACCAGGTGACGAGACAGCATGGGGCTGGCGTTCCGGCCAATCAGGAAGCCAAACGCCCTGTAATGATGTGTTGCCCAGCTTCTTGAACAATCAGCAAGCCGGGCAACGCGTCATTACACGGCACCCAGATTCCTGATTTACCGGGAAGCCGGCTCCATGCTAACTTGTCACCAGGTGACCAGGGAGCATGAAGCTGGATTACTTACCGATCAGAAAGCTGGGGAGGGGGGGGAGGGGGAGGAGGAGTCATATAATGACATGCTGCCCAACTTCATGACTGGCCAGGACATGAGGGAGCATGGAGCCAGCTTCCCGGCCAATCAGGAAGCGGGGCAGCGTGTAATGACTCGCTGCCCGGCTTCCCGATACCGGAAGCTCAGGCATCGGAGCATTTGGAGTACTCGCCCAAATGCTCGGCACCAAACTAGTAACAGTGCATCCCTACTTTTGACTATCACTGTAAATTATAAAAGGCGTTTTTACTAAACAGTACATTTGTATTTGCCCCTGCAATTGAGGACAAAGCTTACCCTTTACTAAACCTGCTTCCAGCAGCAGCATCATCGGCTGGTTTCTGTGTTTGCAGCCATCTTTGCAGTTGACAAGCTGCTTCTGGCCACCACTAGAGGGCGCTGTTTGGAGACAGGAGACTTGCATTGAGCTTAATGAAGGATTCTTCTAGCGGCAACAGATTATTCCGAGCACAGCGGCATGTACACAGAGCCAGGACGCTGCAAGGCAATATCGCTGCAAATAGAAATATCTGCAGTAAATGGAATGACATTTGTTTCCAGAGCCTTAAACAATACCATATAGTGAAAGCAACACCGATACTTGAGCCACCTTTTCCCCCCTCACAATCTATAGGAGCAGAAAAGAACATGGAATCCGTTTTTTTCCCCCACAGCTGAAATCACGGCAGTCACAGAACTGTGTTAAATCCATCATTTATTCACAGAAAAAAAATATCTTTACACCGCTTTGAGGTAGGGTTGCTTATGCTTACAGATTATAAGAAACATTGCAGACAGGAGAAGATGAAGTTCTTTGCTTTCTTTGCACAGTGCCAGTTTTCTACAGTTATACATTAAACCGGAAGCAACAAAAATAAAAAAAATCTTCCCCAGAAAAACAAAACAAAAAACAGTCTGCTGGTAAAAAGTGCGCAGAAAGCCATGTAGAGCAGCAGAAGTCAATGCAACGCTTTGATATGGTGACATCGTCGGAAGAATACATTGAGGTTCATAGGCACCACCAGTTGCTGAAAGGAGGAAAAAAAAAAATCTAATTCTTCTTCAAATTGATTTTTGTTGTGGTGAATCTGCAACATGCAGCAGTTTTATCCATAAAGTCTGAGAATCTAGTGTTTATGAAGGCAGCATGTCGCACAGTGATTTCAGAGTAGGGAGGGGCTCATTTATAAACTCCATAACCATAGCTTATATGAAGTGGAGGAGTCTGATTGATTGGTACAGGGTGTTTATGTGTAATGGAATTTATCATGCAACACGCTGCTGGTGCAGATGCTGCTGTTCTCTAAGTGGAGGGATACAAGCTGGTGCTGTTGTGGTAAAGGTTCACTGCAAATCTTACCGTATCGTATGCGTTTCACGAGTCTAAAGCTGGCCATACTCCATGTGAACTTTGGCCAGTTCCTGATGAACCAGCCGAGATTCGCACAGTGGGTGCCGCCGTCTGCACCCCTTTCAGGTGGCATTACTCGATCAGCTGATCAAAGGAGGCGGTTGGAAATTTTTTTGAAGGAACAGAGTCGGCACCCAATGAGCTGCCAGCTCTGTTGAGGGGTTCTGACAGCAGCCACTGTCGAGTACAATGAAGGCAGCGGGTGATCCCTCGATCAACTGAAGAATGTTCTATTTTCTTTGTTCACCCTGCAGGTTGAATGAAGAAAATATTACAGTGTACGGGCAGCTTAAGGATGGCAAGTTCCACCAGAGGCATCTCACACAGGCAGGTTTGTCTGACATGCATAACATCTCCCATCTGTGACTAAGGGCAATGTTATACAATATGCATAGCAACGCCTAACCGCTGGCTCCCGCAGGCCCTTTAAGGGGTTCTGAATGCCAGGAGCCACAGGCAGGCTTCCCAATCATGCAAGCAATGTAATTGGCTGTCACAGTCACATGATCGGGAGCATACGCGGCCAGCTCCCGAATGTAAACAGTGACTGGGAGCGCTGAGGGAGTGCACGCTCAGTGCAGGACAGAGCCAGCTGTACGCACATAATGTAACAGCCTAGCGGTAAAGTCCACCCAGCGTGCTGCCGCATATAGACATGCGGTTGGCAGGATGGTATTAGAGGAACAAAACCAAAAATTACATGATGCAGTCGGTCAACAGTATCATTTGTATCCTCAGTGTTTTATTAGCTAGTGATCCTGCCAGTAGATTTGTTACTTTTCCAAGCTGTCCAAGCAATAGTGGCAGCTATAGGGGCTGGGACAAACCATAGAACACTGACAGGGTAACCAAACATCTTACAGCGGAAGCTTAGAACAAAGCTGCTGTGTTATATGATGCGGTACGTCAGTAACTATTTGTCATTTCTGATTTTGGCCACATTTTTACTTTAAAGTATCTGGATGTTAAAGCGCCTTTGATATTATTCCACAACCAGCGACCAGATTTAAACGTTCAAGTTCAAACCCACCTTTGCATGTGAAGAGTAGATAATAGGGCAGCACAGACCATTATTTGGGATGCCACACACAAAAAAAAAATAAAAAAATTATTTGATGTTTTTTTTGTTAACCGTAAAGATAAATGGAAGGACTGCTGCTTCCAAACAAAAGTAGGGAGCAACGTTCGATCAAATGAAAGTTCTACATTAGAGTCAGGGACCCTATTACATGTCTACACACTGCTACCAAAGAGCCACATTATTCATAGGATGATAAAGTGCATCAATGGCTGTCCATTTACACTGCCAGATGGGTTGGGTTAGAAAAAAAGATATGGCTGGCATCGCCCCTACAGGAGGAGAACATTGCACTGTGCTCAATACACTCCTTCACCAATCCTGTTGGCTTCAAGTCACAAAATGGCTTCCTAGTGGCTCAGCAAACCTCGGTTTAGAAATACTTCAATGATTTCTTATATATTATATACAACACGTTAAAAAAATATTTTACATACATATCACAGAAGAAGCTGATGAAAAAGGGGCAAAACCACCCCACGAGCGTGTTAGACAAAAACTAAAGACTTGGAAGGCCAAACACTCTCCCTCTATAAGAAGATGATGTGCGAGGTACATATCAGTGCTGATGTGACCACAGTGATCGGACGTCTGGCCTGTACGGGTCACTGTACATTGCACATCACTGTTGCTCTTCCCACGGCTTTGCTGAATACACCTGAATATGTCGAAGTGTCGGGAGGCTCGGGGCTCAGAGAAAGAAAAAACGGCACTTTTTTCCCTTTTACAATTTGCAAATGGCGTTAACTTAAAAGTTCTAACAAAAATAAAGTTTCTTTTATTTCTTTTTTTTTTCTTCACAGTACACTAATTCCCACCTGAATAAAAAGCAAATTGGCAGAAGAGATAAATAAAAAAAATGATCATTTTGCAAACGCGGTCACAACAAACGCATTTCTGTACAAAATTGTTTTGTTTCTTTTTTTATAAAGCTCTAATGTAAAAGACAAATCAATACATTAGTTGTGGCACAATTTCCCATTATTTACAGAGCAAGAATGTATACATTACATGGATGGAAAAAAAAAAATGTCAAGGTAACAAGGTGGAATATTGTCCCATCTGAAGCCGTTAGTTGGGTGCTGGGGGCTTCGTTTTAGCCTCCTCTCGGTCAGTCTCTTTGTCTTTGCTCTTTTTAGATTTCTTTTTTTTATGTTTGTGTTTTTGGCTCTTTTCAGTCTCTGACTCGTTGCCGGTGTGCTTCTTATGCTTTTTGTGTTTCTTATGTTTCTTGTGTTTCTTTTTCTCCTTCTTCCTCTTCTTTTTCTTGCTGTCTTGGCTGCCTGCTGAGCTGGCGCTGCTGCTGCGGCTGAGAGACTCCGCAGGGCTGTGGCTACGGCTGTGGCTTGCCGTTCGGCTGCTCGGAGCAGTGGCAGGTAAGCTGCCGTCTCCTGGCTCTGCGTTTTGCACTGGTTCCTCATCCTTGTTTTTAGGATCCTGAGGGTCTTGGGCGACTTCTTCCTGTTTGACAGAAGCCTCGCTATCGCTCTCATTGTAGTCAGGCACAAAGGCAGCTTCGTCTGTCTCTCTGGTCAGGTCTGCCGAGAGCCGCGTGGATCGGCTTTGGTGCACCTTGGTCTTTGAAGAGTCCTTTTCGCTAACCTCCTTCTCGGTTTTTGTTTCGGGGGAAGAGCGTTTAGAGACAGAGGATTTTTTGTCACCCGTGTCATCCGTTTTTGACTTGGGGACTTTCTCCTTCCCTCGGTCACCATTTTTGTCAGAGGACGGTTGGCCGTTGCTTGGAGGTTTATTGTCTGAGGATTTCTGCTCAGTCCTTGATGTGTGCTCTTGCCCTGGGCTACTTTTAGAGTCTTTACTTGCCTTCTTAGAGGCGTCACTGGACGTGTCCTTGGGTCTTTGTTTTTGGGAAGAAGAGGATGTTTCTTTTGTTCTGTTTGGAGAGTCTTTTCTCCGCTCATCCTGTCTCTTCGAGCTGCTGCGGTCCCGACTGTCATAGTCCGGTTTCCTGTCCTTCGTGTCATGGTCAGTCTTTTTGTCTCTGCTGTCGTGGTCAGTCTTTTTGTCCCTGCTGTCATGGTCAGTCTTTTTGTCCCGGTCTTTCCCGTCATGCTCTTGCCGTCTTTCTCGGTCTCTGCTTTCATGTTCTGTTTTTTTGTCTCGGCTATCATAGTCTTGCTTCTTGTCGTGATCATGTTTCTTGTCCCTTTCTCTGGTATCGTGATCGGCCTTTCTCTCCCTCTCCCGGCTTTCGTGTTCGGGTTTTTTATCCTTGCTGTCCGTATCTGCTTTTTTCTCCCGATTGGGGGTGAAGTCCTTGCTGGAGCTTCCACGACTAGAATCTGCTTTCTCAGGTGCCCTCTCTTTGGAAGAAGGCTGGCTGCGTTCAGAATTGCTTTTCTTGTCATCAACAGCTGGACTGCCTTTGTCTTTTGCTTTGACCTTGGTTAGAGATGAACTATCTTTGGGAGGTTTTCCATCTTGTGACACGTCCTCTTTCGGATCTCTGGTTGTTTTTAATTTTTCAACCTCTTTTTCAGGCAAGATTACAGTAGACGTTGGTTTTGTCACAACGCTCACTGGCTTGCCAGCATTGGATACTCCCTGTGGATCTTTTGTATTATCCTCGTCAGACTCATCCTTGTCCCATTTTGACTGAGGGACCTGAATCATTATAATGACATCCTCCGGGGGAGCTGTGCTGTCATTGTTGTATTCTTCAATCGTCTTAATAACGGTTCTCTTGGTATCTTGCTTCTCTTCTCCTTTCCGAACAGGGCTTCCACCAGTGGAGCTAGTGCTGTGTAAAAGGAATGAGAAAAAAAAGCAAGATTAAAAACAAATGAAACCCTCAATAAGGTGCCTAAACTACACAAATGATTCTTGCTTGTGCAATTTAAAAGAGAACACGGAAATGGCCACATATAACAATGTAAAGTCTATGCCTGAGCAAAATAAAAAAATATATAGCTTTCACATGTTCTGGTCTTTTTTTAATACTAAACAACTACAGAAAAATACCTGTTAGGCCTCATTCATACGAGAAAAAGCTGGCACATACAGCTCCGTGCACGGCTGTATCGGGCAGCTCCCGGAAAGGACAGGTGCTGCGTGTGATTATTACGCAGCCCCTGTCCTTCTCTATGGGAGTACGCAGACGTACGCCACCCTACGCTCACCCCAAGTGCAGGTCCGTACGAGTGCGGGTGTCCTGGCTCAGACACAGATAGGATCCATCCTGTCAGCGTACGAGTACGGACACCCGCACGGATGTGCAGCTCGGGTGAGCGTACGGCCATGTACTCCCATAGAGAAGGACAGGAGCTGCGTACTAATCACACGCAGCACCTGCCCTTCCCGGGAGCTGCCCGATATGGCCCTGCACGCAGCACGGAGCTGTACGTGCAGGCTTTTTCTCAACTGAATGAGGTCTAAATCCTGTTAGAAATCTAGAATCCTTGTACTTTTTTGGGACTGAAATCCCTAGCGGTGTTCCTACCCATGCCCAGTTCTCCCCTAAACTAAAGAACACCTCCCCCTGTGTTATAGAGATAAGGACCAGTTTTCTTTAGTCCAAATCAGGCGCAAGCCACCTTGGGTGACTATCCTGTACCTTCATAGATACACTACAGTGAGTGTTGTCACCTTGGCACAGGAAGTGTGTTACTGGCAGGACTACCAGGTGAAAATTCAGAGACTAAAATAAGATTTTTAAAGTAAGTAAAGGCTAGAACTCAGGTGGTGAAACGCGTGAGCGGCGTAGGAGTGGGAGCGATACTATGGTAGTGTATACCTTGTATTTTGAACTTTGCATGGAATTTACAACAATAAAGATAGATTTTTGTGATCGATGGTTGTGTGCAGCTGATTGGAGAGATATCGTTTGACAAATCTTTTATTTATAGCAGTTTCCTTGTTAGAGATTTACCCTCACTTTTGGTCAATTTAAACAGTTATCACCATGAAAGCAAATGAGGGACAATCTCTTTAACAAAGCACCATATAGCAGTAAACCTCCACAGAGGTTCTAATAATATTCCACTCTATCCATAACTAAAAAGAACAGTTTGGGCTGGACATTCACTTTGAGCTGCTTTTGCATTCCCATGGGTTGTCCACACCAGAACTGCTCTTCTCTTCATATAAATGCCCCCATGTACACAAGTCCTACTATAGTGTGTTGGAAAACCTGGAACCAGCTTCTTGGTCAGACCACACTGGCCAGTCCAAGAAATTGTATAGAAAACAGCTTATCAACTAATAAATCTTATTCACGTACAAAGCTTAACTTACCTAGTGTAATCTACGAGGGTAGAACCAGACCCATCAGCAGCAGGTATTTTCCTCTTCACTTTCCCCTTAGCACGTTCTGATTTCGCTTTGGCAACAGCAGCAGGCTCGCTCTTCTCTTGGGTCTCCTCTGGCACGCCAGGAGCATCAGAGTTGGCAATCTTCTTGCCAGTTTCACGATTTAACTTGATCTTTTTCACAGTTGACGTGGGGGTGGAGGCGGCTTTCTCTTTCTCTGGGACCTTCTCGGACTTTGTCACTTCTGGCTCCGTCTTGGGGACTTTGGGGACAGGTGGATTTGAAGCTTCAGTCATCTCCGCTTTAGCAGTCTTAACAGGTGTTTTATCCTGCCCTTTGTCACATGCCTTCTCGTCTGTTTTTCGCTTGCGCTTTTCAGGCTTGGGGTCCACGGGTTTAGGTTTTTCTACAGCTTTTTTAACCTTTTCATCTTTAGCTGGTGGGTTGTCCTGTTTGGAATCTTTGGAATGGTCCTTTTTGTTTTTGTCATCCTTGGCTTGTTTACTGTCTTGATTTTCTTTCAGTGCTTTGAGATGAACTTTGCGTGGCAGCATGCTGGATTTCTCATCCTTTGGTAAGGTAGTATGCTTGGCGTTTTCTGTCTTTTGGGTCTCCTCTTTGATTTTCTTTGCGGGGGGTTCAACAGGTGACGACTTTGCTTTATCTCCATCGCTGCTTGCTTTCTCAGTCTTGACGACCGCTTTGGAAGAGCTCTCTTTTTTGGGCTGGACACCATCTGTTCGGCGTTTTGTCTTTTCAGGTTTCGCTCTGGGTTTGTCCCTTCTGTCCTTGTCAGAAAGTGATTTTAGAGCAACAGACTCTGCATCCATAGGCTCATCCCTAACTGGGGTAGCATCATCTTTGCTTGTGGGAACAAAAAGGGGTTCACTTTTTTTAACTTCTTCCCCATAGGAGTCTCGTCGCTTTCTGGAAGGTTCAACAACAGGTTTAGAAGGACCTTCGCCCTCCTCCTTCCTTTTTTTGCGATGTTTCTTGTGTTTGTTTCCTCGGGAATCTCCAGCTGGGGTAAAAGTTTCCCTCTCCTTAGATCGTCTTGATTCTTTCACCACATGGGAATCACGGGGCAATACCTTTTCAGGATAACTGCTAACTAAAGGACGAATTCGAGGAACAAGAGGGGGAGGATAATTGTCTCTGTGACCGCGATTATACGGAGAGTGTTCCCTCCGGGCCTGAGGGGGAAGGAGATATCGGTTGTCTGGAAAGTTCTCCCTACCAAGAGGGGACCTTGGTCGTGGCACAGCATTAACCCCACACCCTTTATAATACTTTTCATACCAGTCTCTGTACTTCCGTTCCCACTCTCTAAAAGCTTCCTTTTCAAAAGGATCCCTAAGATCAGGCTGCCGGCCACACAATGCCTTGACATCATATGGTGGGAGTTCGCGGTAACGGTTGATGAAATCCCGTTCCCCTTCAATTTGGGGTAGTAGTCTCTTATTGTTAGGAGATGGAGGTCTAAATGAAGGAGATCTGGATCGGGAATGGTATCTCCTGTACGGGGACCTTGATCTCGAGCGGGGATAGCCATGAGAACGTGATCTAGAGCGGTAAGCACGGCCCTTTCCGTGGGCTTTCCTCTGGTATGAAGGGGATCGTGAGAATGACCGAGAGCGCGACCGGCTGTGAGAGCGAGAATAGGAGCGTGATCTCGACGAAGATCTGGATTTGGAGTAGGTGTAAGAACTTTTACTGTAGGATGATCCAGAGTAAGGAGATTTAGACCTTGGAAGAAAAAACGAAACACAAAATACATTAACAACAGCGAGTTAACACTTCTATCAATTCTATCTCAAAGTGAGCTTGTCACCATTTCCAAGTTATTGTCTGCAGGTTCCCTGATGGCACACAGCTGTTTTAATTTCAAAAGTATTTTTTATCTGCATTCTAGAGACCCCGGAATCTAGGTAAGATATAGGTGTAAATCTTGACATTTGGTCAAAGTTAAGAAGCACCTCACACATACCAACATTTAAATAGCATGTCTCTGACATGCAGAGAGACACACCTTCTCTAAAGGGTTGTGGCAGAGGTCTTGACTTTGGCTGGAATCTGATTTTCCTATTGCATGCAATGGCTTAGGGGAGGTTTTAGGGCTACCAGAAGCATTTTTCAAATAAAACAGATGTGCTGGACTTGGATTGCCTTCTGCCATGGAAATTGCAAACATTAACTTTGATGTGGGCGACGAGTTCCTCATAGCCCTAGAGATTCTTTTCAGATGAAAAGTAACTAAATCTAACATTCAAGTATCTCAAACAACACGCTATTAAATATCAAAATATACATGTAAAAGCACTAATGCATTGACACATAAGATACCTAATGTGTCATTAAACTTCAGGCTGGCCTATGCAAATATAGGATTTTTGTACTCACCATAAAATCCTTTTCTCTGCGTTTATTGAAAGACACAACCGGATCCTTAGAATCTTCACCATATGGGACCCCCGCTGGTCACTAGGACTCCCGCAGAATCAGGCCATGTGTAAATGCCAGCAGAGAAGCCGCTCGTGACACTGATCCTGCGGGTGTCCTAATGGCCTGGGGGTGGCAAGTCCTTGGGGAGGGGATCCCATATGGTGAAGATCCTAAAGATCTGCCTATGTCCTTTAATAAACAGAAGAGAAATTAGGTTTTAAAACATTTACGAATGAAGCATGTATCTAACCTCGAGATCATCAGAATAAAAGAGGCAAAGTAGCACAATGGCCGACTTGTGTCAATCTCATTTCTATATGCAGTTGTGGGTAATTTCATAGGTTCCCATTTTTCATTGTAGCTTTATTGGCCCATTAAGACCATATTAACAAGTAGAATTTGGCAGCATACAACCCACTGTTTTATATTACCATCCATACAAGTCTGGGCAAAGGCTTGAGGCCACCATAAAGGGTCACATGCCTCATCAGGTGCATTGGGAGAGAGGTCTTCCCAATCTTTGTTATGGAAGCCAAGCAAGCTGTGACGTTTTACTTGAACTTCAACTGAACAAGAGAATTTGAGTTTAGCAAATTTAAGAGTGGGGAAGGACTCAGTTTCTTTATTCCATGTCTCCAACATGTAGGGTCTATACCAAAAATTGTGTTCCTCTCAAAAGAATAGCAGACAGGATAGCATAGACTAACAAAATATCTTGCCAGCAGTACAACTATATTTTGTAAATGTTTAACTATAATCATATATAAACTATAATCCTGTCAGGTTTTTATTGCTGCCCGTTTCCACACAGGGTAGATTGGCCCCTCAGAGTTTGCTTACACCATGTCCGGATCAGTTCCAGGCCAGAACAGTTTGTTCCCGGACCAAATAGGCATCCCAATCTTTCCCTATGGTATCTCTGGGCTCTTTTCACACAAGCGCAGTCCGTTCCGGACCAGACAACAAAAATTACTGCCTGTCTCATTTTCTCTGGTCTGGAATGCACTGGAACGCATGGAAATGCATCAAAACTGCATACAAACGCATGCAAATGCACCCATTTTAAGCTCCGGAATGCATCAAAATTGTGGTAAATACGCTGCAAAAATGCGCTTCATAATACGCCACAAATACCTTAAAAAGCTGGCGGGGTTTTTTAACTATTTCCTATTGTATCCACCACTCTTTAGATGTACATCAGTGTTCTTGAGTTGCATTAGTACTGTACAACCACTGATGCAATATTAGTTCAGCTAAACAATAAGCTTTAAAAGGCTTTATTTTAAAGGCCAATGTCTGCGCTCTTCCCACATGCGGATCTGAAATTTCTCAAGCAAACCATTATGATACCTTGCCAATACTCCGTGTATGTAGTCAGTGCTGCCAAAAAATCCAGGGAAACTTTTGGATATAAATACCAAACCCCTCCTGTAATATTTTTAGGGTCCATTATCTAACTCCGTGAGCTCCATCCATAACCTGGTAGAGTTCTCTGAAACCCAAACTTCCCACACCTTGAATAGGAACGCTTCCTCTCTTTTTGGATTTTCTTGTATTCCAAAAGTTCCTTAGCAAAATCATTTGTAAATTCCTCAAATTTTAGTTTGTTCTTTTCTCTAGGAGACATAAAAAAAAAAAAAAAAAAAAGAACAATGTAAGCTGATATGGATGACACAACTTTCTACACCTAGTCTGTTAAAGTTTGCATGCCTCAAACTCCAGTACAGAAAGAGTGATTACTTGCATTGATATAGCTAATAAAATCCTTTCCTTAGAGTCCATTGAGGAACACCCAAAGTCTTTAACATTTGGGTTATACAGCTGCCTACTGGAGATTTGGACACTGGCAAATAAAAAAATGTAGGCAAACCGAAGATAACCCCTTCCATTACTAGCATGCCTTAGTATTTGTAGCAAGCCGTACTGAGAGCATGTTGATAAACAGAGGGTTGGGACCTGTGTCCCCCCCAATGGACTCCAAGAAAAGGATTTTATGGTGAATACAAAAATCCTGTTATCTTTCTCATCCATTGAAAGACACAGGAAGACTTTAACCATCAGAACGTCAAAAAACAGTCCTACTAAAGGTGGGCAAATAGACCAAAAAAGAGATCTAGGGACTGCCTGCACCTCAAAAAGCTGCCTGAAGGACCTTGTACCTGATGCTCGAAGACATTGAGCTCTTTGAGATTCACAATGGGGTGAAGGTAAAATCACTGGAACCGTTCTGAAAAAAAGGAACAAGGGGCAAGGACACATTCATCCAGAAGACCAGAGAGGGCTCGATGGAGATCTGCTAATCTGTGTGGTGACACAGCAATGTTGGAGATAGGAAACAGGTGGCAGGGAGCGAAACTCCAGTTTGTAGTCATGGGATATCAGTTCCTGCAACCAAGAATCTGAGATGGAAGCAGTTCAGGCATCAGCGTAGGTTAAACATTACCCCATAGGGGTAATAGGGGGCCTATATTCATGCAGGGAATGGCTTTTCTGAGGATTTAGCAGACCTTGTGGTGGACTGTGAGCCAAGCTTAGGGAGGGTGATCGATATGGAGGTTGAGGGAGTAGATCAACAAAAGGGAGGTTTAGTAGATGAGAGAGTGAGAGAGAGAGAGTGAGTGAGTGAGTGAGTGAGAGAGAGAGTGAGAGTGAGAGAGAGAGATGACTTTACAGTCCGTTCCTTTGGTTTCTTCTGCTGAGGAAGATGGGTGCTTTTGATACCAGTAGCATCCTTGATGATGTTCTCAAGAGGCGGTCTGAAGAGGCACTGTCCTCCAAAGCCCATGTGGATCAAACACTTTAACACACAGGTTCCAAAGTCCAGCATTTTAGCCAAAGCGCCCCACATGCATGCATGAAACAAGGACAGGAGGCTTCCAACAAATCATCATTGATTAAATTTAAGGCTACAGCCACCTGCTTCCCCTCTATAAAGGATCAACTGCTGCAGCAGTCACAAAGCAGGGTCTCAACCAGAATCAGTTGAGACAGGATGCACCACTGAGAACAGCTTTAGAAAGGGATGGCAACCACTTCTCAGATGGGTCTCTTAAAAGACAGGTGTGTCCCCTAATGGAATAGCAAGCATTTTAAGTCAGGACACAAAATCCTCAAACGAATACAAGGCTATTATGAGCTTGGGAGAAGGGGGTGGGGTGCAAACAGCTCATCAGGATGATTTTAATCTCCACAGAGATAATAGTTGGCAAGGTTTTTGAGGCCCTATGACCCAAGACTGGAATGGTCCTTCTGCATAGCCAAGAAGACCTCCCTTCCAACCCTTTGAATTCTTTGTACAAGACAATATTGCAGAGACATTGGACATTTTCTATATTTGATATATTTGACAAATTTATGGACTTTTGCATTGTTCACTTTATTGTAAATGTTTACTTTGGAAAATCTAATAAAATATTGAAAACAAAAAGACTGGAAATGGCACTGGTAGAAGCAACAGCCTGATCCTCTAGTTCCTGAATGGATGCTTAAGAGTTAATACATTCTCCTTTACTTTGGAATTACAGTAGGCCAACCCCTGAATGACAGGCTCATCAGTCAAGGACAGGTTTAACTCAGAATCTTAGTCACTGTGATAGCTGGCTTGGAAGGCGACAAGGCCATGGGTAAATCGGATCTAAAACTTTTCAGGAGTGGCTGTGTGAGTGCGCTTGGGCTCTCTGCAGTCAGCAAATAACTAGGTAATTTAAGTCATAAAACCCCCACACCCAGCAGAGCCAAAAAAGACTGCGAGGACAGGATTCCTATAGCAGAGGATAACATGGCTCCAGGTGTTGGTACTGTCAGTAGATAGACTGAAAGCAGCCCCAAAGCCAATAGTAGAATGTGAGCTCAGGGCACCCAGTACAGCATTATCAAACGTATTGTAACCGTGTGCCAGTAAGGCAATGAATAGGCTCGGGGTAAGAGGCAATTCCTCACCAAACCCAGACAGGTGGTAAGATGGTAAGGGTTGGATGGCCAAATCAAAGACACTGTAGGTGGGCAACCAGAACACAAAGAACAAACTTCCATATGCCTTTTTGCACACAGAAGCAGCAGAAAGAGGATTCCTTAACACTGTATGGTGGGTAAGTGCCTTTGGAGCAAGTGACACTCTGCTAAGCGGAAGATGTCAATGCTTAGTCAAACCCCACAGAATAAGGGAACAATGGCTCTCCGTTTCCCGTAACTAGGCCCGACTGGCCTACTTACTGAGTCTTCAGATACAGGGCAACTAATTGAGGCAGCTAATTTTTACTAGAGCAGAGTCTGGAAAGCACCCTATGAGAAACCCAGAAAGCATGAAGTTTACTTTCAGATTATGCTCACATAGTTCAGTTCAGCATGGTCTGGACACGGTACTCCAAAGGCCAAGCTAAGAAGGAACATGCCAGAGAGCTGCAATCAAAGAGAAAAAGCTCCCACTAGTGATGTAGAGAAGAGCCTGGATTTAATAAAAGATTCAACAGAAAGGTGCTAGCAAAATAAAAAACAAAACAAAAAAAAAACAGGTCTGTAACACAGCAGAGCTGCAGAAAAGATGGCCATCCTCCTAGAACATTAACAACAAACGGAGGCATGCTAGTGGTGGGAGGGGTTATCCAGGGTTGGCCTACAGTTTCCCAGTGTCCACTTCCCCAGTCGGCAGCAGTACAACCCCCAAAGGCTAAAGACTTCCTGTGTCCCTCAATGGACAAGAAGAAAAAAAGTTGTCAAACACATAAGCAGCACAATCTGTAAATTTATGTTAATTTGCACTTTAAAAAGCAAACTATAATGGTTTTGGTTCAACGTTAAATGTTATATAGATATAGAGTGCATGCAATATTTGTTTAAAATAGAACTGAAGGCAAAACTAATTTTTTTTAGTTTTGTATAAAAGGGAGGGTCGTAACCCGTCCGTTTTTTAATGCCATTTGTGTCCTACTGGGGAGATCTCCCTTCAATCCCTGTCCGATAGCCACATCAGGAAGTGAGAGGAAATGCCCTGTGGTCGGCCAGACCACCAGAATCGGCGTCCCCATTGGAAGACTTTACATCTATTCTTGTTCTGGTAACAAACCCCAAACTTGTGATTTTTTCACCCTCACTTTCAGTGATAACAGTCACCAGGACAAATAGAGAGGGTGAATCTCCCCTAAAGGGGACAAGGACAGCAATAAAAACCTGACAGATGTTGTAATTCCTCTTCATTCTATCCAAAACCAATTTAAACATTTTTGGCTTCAGCTGCACGTTGAATATTCATTTTGCACTTGTCCTTTAATGTAGCTTATGCTCTAATGAGAACGTAAACCTGACCAAGCCTAAGATCACAATACAGCTTAAGGGTAGTTACACACTGGTGCCTTAAGTACCTGTCTTAGTCTTTAGATTCAATCCCTGTGGAGTCCCTTAGATCCTAAGGTCAGGCTGTGCATGGGATGCTTTCCCACTTCTGACACTAAGACCTTCTCGTCATTAAACAGAAAAGGTTCAGTAGAAGCTCTGGCATCTGACCTTTCAATGACAGGGGCTAATCACTGGGAAGGAGGGGTGCTTAATCTGAACTTGGAAAAAAGTCTCAAGTCCTTTGTAAAGTCTAGGAATGGGATTTAAAAGTGCTTCTCAGGGCTCGAACTGAAAACGAACACGAGGTGCAGCACTTCAGCTGTACTGTTATCTAATGTGCTTTCTAGGTCAAAGTTGGGTACCTGTATGCAAGCTGCACAGAGATTTAATTAACCCCAAAAGTGACATCAGATCAGCTCTTTTCACCCTGTGTGTGTATACCACTAAAAGCAAGTGAAGAGGCACAACCGGTACTTGATGCAGTGTGTAAAACTCATTATAAAGTGCAACCTAAAGAAAACATTGTTTATTACTTACTCCTCTTTCAGACGACGCTGTTCTCTATAAAACTCCTCTTTGGACAGAGGAGGCGCCAGTGACTGGGCTGGTAAAGCACTGGCATGAGTACCCTGAATGGCTGGAGCAACCCACGGAGCAGAAACCGTGGCAGGTGCGGAGGGAAAACCTGGTGGTGGAACATTATAACCAGCATTGGGAGGCTGACCAGGAGGAAACTGCGGAGGAAACTGAGGTGGTGGCACACCAGGTGGCAGCTGAAGTCCATGTGGTGGTGGTGGAGGAAAGAGAGGCGTAGGAGGAGGGACATAGACTGGGCCCGAGGAGGCTAAAGATGGCCCTTGGTTTCTAGGCAGACGATCATTGTGAGGATGCCGCCCACGGCTATGGCTGCAAAATATAATCCAAAAAAAGTTAGTCTAACTTTAAATATCATAATTGCAAGAACTTGCGCTATTGGAAGTGGGAATAATAAAATATAAATAAAAGTTTAAATAGATAAAAATTATGTAGATAAAAATTATGTAGATAAAAATTATGTAGATAAAAATTATGTGAAATTTAATTGTTCTAGAAGGGTAAGGGAAGCTGCTGAACTAAAGGCACTCAGCCCCTATTAGGATATATTTTCTCAAAACGTACAGCGCTAGCCGTCCTTCAAAGGTGAATATAAGAAATCAGACGTTAAGATCAAGATTTGACAAGTGCTATTAAAGAATATAAAATGTATCAAACATTCAGTGAAAGGGTGTATCTCAAAATACTCAATGTGAATGGTTGTGTAAACAATTTAAAGTCTATACAATATCAAATCAGAATTTATCAAATAAAAAGTGATAGGTTATGAATTATGTATCATGTGTGGGTGATTCTTGTTAATAAATAGTGAATGAACAAACAATGTATACCAATTAAATAAAATTAAACTTTTATCAATGTATATGTGAATAGTCCAAATCTTTTGCATTTATGGATTTCTAAAGACTTTAGAAAAAACTACAAGACACTTCAACAGTGAAAATTCAGTGCAATAATGTGTCCAACGAAAATCCAAAAAGAAACGAAGAAAAAATGAAGAAAAAGTGTAGAAAAAATGCAGAAAAAGGATGGCTAGCGCTGTACGTTTTGAGAAAATAACTTTAAATATCACTTGTCTATAATACATTGACAACTCTCCAGGATCTGACAAAATGAACTATCAAGTTTTGGGTGGGCTGTATTTAATGTAAATACTTCACTGCTTATTATGCCCACATAATAAATCTAATTAAGCTAATACTGTTCTTGGCATTGTCATATTACAAATCAGGAGAGAGGATATGAAATACTAACCTGTCCCATCCCATGTGTGGTCTTGGGAGTGAGGGCCTGGAAATATTGGCCCGCATAAGTGGAGCTGCAGAAAAAAAGATTTAAAAGATATTAGTCATTATTGTAAGCCTGAGACAAAGAAAATGTCAATGACTTTAAAATGTAATACATTGCAGCTTACCTGTCCTTAGATATGGTGGCTGCATTAGTGTTCTTCTATGAACTTTATTTTCACCTAGTTTCTGTCCAAGAGTGACAATGCTCACTCAGTGTTCAGTATCTTTTGAGAAACGGCATTGTCACTCTAGACTGCTCGCTCCTGGTTAGAACTACAAAACAACCCATTCCATTGTAACATGAAGAGGTGTTCTGTAGCCCACAGAGGTGAACTAGGCAGAGCTGATACATCTACTTGGGATTTCAGTGCATCACATGGGGAGTGTACTGAATATGTTTTCTTTTTTATTTTGCACTGACATACACTTTAAAGGTGGAAGGCAGACTATAGGACTTTATTACTACAAAATCCAGAGCTACTACTTACTTGGAGGAGGAAGGTTGTGAGTAACATGAGGCGGATGGCCAAGTACTGGAACGTGGAAGCCCTGGAACATATAATACAGCAATATACATTAGATAATGCAGCTCGTAAAGGCACCCCGCATAAAACAACAATAGGCAATAGACTTA